ATAGGATCTCCAGAGCTTTGACTCCAGTCAGATGTTCCAGAGGTCTTAACAGAGCTGTTATATCACACACCACTGACTGACATCTGTACAGAACAACAACTTTATTTACACACCAGTCAGTTTTTGTTTGTTGGAGAGACACTTGCCTGTTCTGTTTGTTTCTTATTTTTTTTCAATTGTACATTAGCTTTTTGGCCCCAACAACTAAAAACAAGCTTTGATTATGGGCACCTTATAAATCCCCCCTCCACTAAACAAAGAGGGAGTGTGAAGCCTTTCTCAGATGGACCAGAGACATCACATCTACGACATTCCAAAATGTAGATAGTGTAGCGGGCAGTGAGCTCGGCCACTGTGCGGATGACAGTTAAAGATCCAAATAGTGACTTTTATGGTTTATGATAATAAATAATTTAAAGAGTTCTGTATTGATGTCATTTTATCATGTTTGTGCAGCTCAGTCGAGTACAGCAGTCCATACATGATTAACCCCCAGGGCCTGAGCAGCTCACTGTGTACTCATCACATCACTAGGAAATCTGTGGAAGCTCGTAACAGCAGAAACTTACTGCTACATTGAATCGTCACTGAATACATGTTTAAATGTAGTTACCATTGAATTTATAGCACTAAAATATTTTACTTGAAAACCATCTCCATTTATGTATTTTTTTCATAATTTTATTTCAAGTGGTGTAACTTTATTCTTCCAGTGGGACAGAGCACACACACATTTCATGGGACAAAATAATGAAATACATATATCATTCATATTATTTTGCTCAAATTTGACCTAAAAGTTCAAGTTAGCTAAAATTATACTTATTAAAGTTCTGTTCCATTTAGTGTAGCAGAGCCTGTACAATGAGCCAATGTGTACAATTGACCCTTCTTAAGTCCCGCCCCTTTTTGCTACAGTGACAATTGAGCAAGCCTCGATAGGCAAAACATATATATGTATATATTTCTTAATTAGCTAGCTCATGGTAGTGAAACAATTGATGTGATTTAGCTTGCTAGTTAGCTACCATTTTGCTAACATTGGCTTTCAGATGCAAACAACTAGCTAACGACGGATGTAGCTCAGTTAGCTAGGTAGTGTTTTACTCTGTACAAAAACACTTGCTAACTAGCTAGCTAACAACTGATGTAGATTAGCTAGCTAGCATTTTGCAAAGATTAGCCTGCTGAATAAAATGTGATCATATGTATGTTGCATTTATCTTTTAACCATCTTCAAAATGTGGTTGTCTTTTAAACATTGACGAGCCTAGCACATAGCATATCTAAGGAAAGTTGACCGGCGTTTGCTCAACTGTTATTGGAGCACAAGGGTCAATAGGCAGCACAATGACTCTTTGTTTGACCTGAATGGAACAGAACCCCAATTAGTATCACTGATAACGTCTGTGTTTACCCTACTATTTCATGTCAAAATGGCTGCTGTGAAAAGGGTTTATACAAAACGTATCATCTGGTAACCACGGTAACACAAGACAAGGGTTAAAGAGATGTTGAGCTTGTGTCCCACTGCTTTAGCAGTTCTTTAAAAACAAGTGACAAACCCTCGTAACTCCTCTTCCTCCTCCCATTTCTGTTTGACTCATATCTTAAGGTCAGAATTTCAATGACTAAATTTCAGCAACTTGAATACAAAACTTAAAATCAGGCTTTTGATTTTCAAGGTAAAATATTCTAGTGCTATAAACCTAATGGTGTAAGTATTCAGATTTGTTTACATGTTCAGTTGCTGCAGTTTGCTTCCATAGAAACCTGCTGACATTCTTGCATGCTGATTGTGCCTTGTGTACAATGACATGGACCCTGACAAACTTATAAGAATCTAATTCACCGCTTTAATGCCAAATATGTGACCTAGAGTGTGATGTAGATGTGGACAGAAAGCTTAGCATCCATTCAGAGTGGCCCTGGGATCCTCTCAGTGATGTTTAATGTTATTTATTGAGTTGGGAAAGAAGAGACGGACTTCCCTGCTGCAGCACAGTCGACAGAGAATACAGTGTGTGTGTGTGTGTCAGTCAGGTAACACTACAGCCTTATAGAGCCACCAACATGAGACATTTTGTAAGCTGTGTGTTTATTTGTCGTATGGGACTCTTAATAAATATATCAGGAGCTGATTCTTGCTTGAACAGGAAATTACATGAATATAATGTGTATATATAAATGAAAGGTAAAGTACTTTTTACTATGTAATAAATATAATCTAAAGAAAGTGCTCATTCTGGTTTGTTGAGTTGTTTCTTTCTTATCTTACTGCAGATAGGCCTTTTCCACCTACAGGGAACTGGCCCCGTTCCAGTTTGCGCACCTAGTTTTGAACCGTTTCAAACATTTCAACCAAAAATAAATTGGTTTGGAACCTGAAACGTTGGTTCTTGGCTGGAACCAAAGTGGGTGTGTCACATTGTAATCAACATAGGGGGCATTTTAGATAATGTTAAACTTAGAAAAAAACG